CAGGTCCGGCTCCTGGGGACGCTGGAGGGGCCTGAGCGCTAATCCGGGCCTGCAGGGGCAGAGAAAGGCTATTTCGTGGCAACATCGCCTGGCTAGAGCACTGGAAGCGGTGGGACTGAGTGCTCATCATTTCTAGAGGTAGGACAAGGCATTTTACTCGGCTTGGAAAAAGAGACTTATGTACTGCTAAAAAACTTGATAGTAAAAGGGCTGTGTGGTTCCAGCTGTCTGTGCTTGCTAAGTGTGAGGTTCTTGAAGCATAGTTTTGTGAAGCTGCAGCGTTAAGTTCGGGATATATATGACAACACACTAGCTTCCAAGGGAAGATGAGGTTTGGGACATTAGTGAGGGTACCGCTGTTAGGACACACTTCTTCCTCCCAGGTGCTCACATTCCAAGGCCTTGTTGGGATTTTACTTTGGGGGTTAAAAACAAAATGGGGGAAGGGCAGAAAATACACTTAAAAGATTTTCTTGTTCATCTAGAAGGCTTTCCTTGTCTGATTATCTTTGACTGTCAATATTTAAAAGTGAAGCACTGAATAGCAGATTCTGCAGGGGTAGTTTGTCAACAGATTTTATTGTAAATAATGTGACCTGGTTTCTTCTTGGAGAATGCCCAGATATCAGTGTTTGGATGTATTTTCTCAGGACCCCCGTGGTTTCTTCAGAGAATAATCTTCCGATTGACTCTGTGTGTGTGTGTGTGTGTGTGTGTGTGTGTATGTTGGGCGAGAGAGGGGGGAAGGAGGAACCAATATTCTTTGGATATTGATTTAAGAAGACCAAGATGGGGGAAGATGGGTGACATTCCTGCAGTAAAGGATATAGACTTTAACATAATTCCCTTGTTTGACGCTATACACAACAGTCAACTGTGCCTTTCTCTGACTTTGTCTTTGCTTCAACTTATCTAGAAAATAACCTTTCCAAAAGATAATAAAAAGAAATGGAACTTCCCATCTGTGGCTGGGGAAGGATGAGTCACCTAGATTCCTAGGGTGGGAAAGGGATCTTGGGTATCCTACAGCTCTGAACAGACTTTAATAAGTCACATTTCCAGCCCCACACCTCTCTCCACCTTTGGAAACTTACGCCTGCAAAAACTCTCACATGTTCTACAGCAAGTGGGTTTTTCTTTTTGGTATACCCCCTTGCAGACATTGCAAGCATGAAACTTTCTCTGATTTCTCAATTTATTATTTAGCTGTTTTTATCTTCTGAAAATGGCTTGACATATATTATTTAATGTTATCTCATCTCTTAACCTTGGGGGTTAATGTTATTTTGGCAGGCCTTTTGATAGAAGATATGTGAAAATAATCTTCCATTTTAAGCTAGAAAAATATTTTTAAATTCTTCATGTTATATTTGAGGGGAGTTTTAGTGTTTTGATAGAACCTCAGCAAAGACAGGAAAATATATTTTAATATTTATTTTTTAAAAATATTTATTTTTGGAGAATGGATGAAGGGAAAAAAAAAGGGAAACATCATTCGTTGCCTTGTCTGCCCCTGAACAGGGGCCTGGCATGCAATCCAGGCATGTGCCCTGAGCGGGAATCAAACTGGCAACCTTTCAGTTCTCAGGCAGGCACTCAATCCACAGAATCACACCAGCCAGGGCTACTTTAATGTTTATTGTGGAGTACCTATCAAGTTATTTAGAAGTGCATTCAATATTTTAATAATGACCACCAATTTTCATTTAATTACTTCTGGTTCATTGTTTTTTAAAAAACATACTGAGTTTTATAAACACAAGAAATGCAGGATACTGCAATAAAGCATCAACTGCTTTTGCATTTTCATGTGTTTTGGAGAAAACAAATTAGTGGAGGCCAGGCATCACAAGGGCATTAATAGGGAAATAGTATATATCTTCACTGAATTATCAGATATAGCTGCATAAATAGTAAGAGATCGATTTCCACTAAACAGCACTTGGAGAAAACAGCGCCCAGCATGTATTAAAACACTGTAGAATAGGGAGTAGATAAAATTAAGAAAATATATCACACATGCACACACACACACACACACACACACAAAACAGTAGATCTATACATGCTAAGGAAGGATATTCATAATTTTTTAAATTGATTTGAGAGAAGACAGGGAGAGAAAGAGGAAGAAATCAATTTGTTGTTCCACTTATTTACGTATTCATTAATTCTTGTAGGTGCCCTGACCAGGGATTCAACCTGCAACTTTGGTATAGTGGGATGGTGCTTTAACCAACTTACCTACCTGGCCAGGGTTCATAATGTATTTTTGAGTGAGAGTTACAGAATCATGTCTGTTAAAATCGTATTTTTATTTTGCTTAACAGAACTACATATATGTATACAATTAATTGTATACTAAATAAAGACCTAGAATGATACATATCAAAATGTTGTTTACTCCAGAATGAAAGGGATTTTTTTTTTTTGTAAAATTGCTACCTTGTTTCAATGTTTTCAGTGAATCTCTTATTTATGTAATATTGTAAAACACTAAAGATTTCTTTGTAACTTTTGCTCAGGAACTCAGAAATATTGAAAACTGTAGCCCAGCCACACTCATGCTCATTAGCCAAGGGAGCAGTGAGAAAACTGGGCTTTTCTGTTAAATGACTTTATTTGAAGGGAAATAGACCGTAATCTTTTTCACTTAAGTCCTTCTTTTTTGAAGTTTATGTAACAGATAATTATTCTTCATTGTGGAGTTTTTACTATTAATGCAAAGCCAAGCCAAGAATCAAATAAAAAAGTCACAAAAGTAAGTTGAGTTGATTTATTTATGCTGCAGATATAAGCAAACCCTGTTTCTGCTGTAATTTACAAACTTTGATTTAGGTTCTTTAACTTGAAATCAGTCAACCACATTTAAGACAGCTTCTTTATACTTTTTTCTACCATTCTGATAACTCTTTAATTCAACTAATTAATCCTTGTTGTGTTCAGACCTTACTTGATAAATACGCAATAATTGTGCTTTTAATTGTTTACAATATTCCAGGCATTGCTTGAAGTCCCCTATATGTATCAACTCAATAACCAAGAGCCAAAAAACTCAACAGCCCTATGAGGTAGATAATATAATGACCTCCATTTTAGAGATGAGAAAATTGAGACAACTAGATTGTTACTTGTCCAAGATAACACAATAGGCCATTGAGCTAGGATACAGGTCCAGGTACTACAGCTCTTGACTATGAGTTTTTAATGTCTTTACTATTTAGTAAGTTTAGTGACTAACAAGCCAAAGAGCCACCTTAGTGATTTCATAGCTTAGTGGAGGATATGAGGAGCAGGTAATTTATCCTTTGCTGTGATAAATCCACTACACTAATATAAGGTACAAAAGATTATAGGCACTAAATATTTAGTTCAGGACTTCACATACAGGGTGTGGTATTACTTGGCACAATATTTGAATAAAAGGGAAACATAGAGCACAGGCAAAACCGTAGTAGAATTGCTTAAACAAGGTGGAGCTCAAGGAAGACATACTGAACCCAGTGATATTTAGGTTGAGACTAGGGGTTACATAAGACATGGCCAAATAAAGGAGAGAATATTTTAGGTGAAGTAAACAGCTTGTTGAAAGGCTCTTAGGCCCAGGAGAGGAAAAGAATTAAACTCCTTAAAAGTGTAAATAAGCTCAGTATGGATTGAAAACTCTGAATGTGATGAGATGAGGCTAAAAAAGTAATTGGGGAACACACTCTCCTGTTTATCTTTTTAAGAAATGTTAACTTAATCCTGAAATAATGATGTACCACTGAATGGTTTTAAACATGGGAGTTACATGACTAAATATATCTTAGATTACTTTGGTGGCCAGATAAATGAAGCTACTGCCACTTGCTAGACAAAAGATGATAATGGTTTATATAAAGGCAGTAGCAGTGGGGATGAAGTAGAGTGACTGAAGAGCTTTTTAGAAAAGTAGAATCAGTAGTAAGGGGGAGTAGTCAAAGATGATGGATTAACTTCTAGCTTCAGCCCTGGCTGATGTGGCTCAGTGGAATAAGCACCCACCTGTGAACTGAAAGGTCACCAGTTTGATTCCCGATCAGGGCACTTGCCTGGGTTGTGGGCCAGGTCCACACAAGCAATAGATCAGTGTTTCTTTCTTCCTCCCTAACCTTCTCAATAATATGTAAAATCTTAAAAAAAATTTTTTTCCCCTAGCTTCAACACCTGGGATGGTGGTAGAAACACAGGAAGAGCAAGCTTCCAAGAAAAAGAAGAAATAATGAGCTCCATTTGGGGCATTTAGATTTGAGTAGCCTGAGGTAAAACGAGTGTTTCCAATACAGAGCTGACTATACTAAATATTAAGTTCAGAAGACACAGAGCTTACAAATATGGATTTGAAAATCAGCAGAGCTTATAACTGAAATGGAGGTAATCAAATCACTAACTTTGTTTTTGTATGCAGATCTCTCCTTCCCATTAACAGAACTTAATCATTAGTGTTAAGGTCTTCCTAAGAATAAATTATTTTGACAAATGATCTACTGTAAAGCCAAATGTGAAAGCTTTTCAGGTGTGACTCTCATAGCAAAATTCCCAATGTACTAGAACAGAATTTGTTACCTCCCACCCTCATGTATTAGTAAAACTTGCCTAACCTCAAGAAATAATCCAAAGCCGTGATTAAGCTTCCATATTCTGGACTGAAATCTTAAAATTATGAAAACATTTTGGTAAAAGAAAAATGATCATCTAGTACAAGAGAAATATCAGCAAGTATGATTACAGACCTAAGGGGTCTAGAAAATTTACCATTTCAAATGTTTCTTGTCAAATACCTAAATGCAATGTGCTCTAAATGTCTGCTTTGTGGGGCTAATATTTTCAAAGCAAAGATTTTATTTATGAACTAATGTCATAATTGTAGACAACTCTGCATTTTGTACATTTTATCACTGAGTCTTCCAAACAGCTCAAGTGTGAGGCACTGGATCCTTTAGCACACTGAAAAAATATGTTTAAGGAATTTTGAAATATCAGACAATGTACTGCCTGCCTTTATGAGCAATTCCGATGAACTGACATGGACAAATCACCTCAGTTCTCAAAATATTAAATAATTACAGAAATTAAGTTGAAGATATTTATAGAATCTTAATCCTACTCAATGAAATGAGTTCTTCAATAGTACTTGATAGCCCTTGCTTTATTCTGTTCCTAATAACAATTAGCAGATGAGTGTAGTGCTTAAAAAAAACACACCCACAAATCATTAAAAAAAGAATAACAAACCTTCATGTGCAAAACTTAGGGTAATTTAGGAAGGTTCTGTACCTAGTGTTTCTTAACCTCCAAATGGAGCTGATGGATCAGAAACTTAACAAAATACAAAGGTAACATTTCCCAATTTGTTTGCACCAGCTGTGTTTATCTTTTTCTTAAAACCTAACATAACTGCTTCTTTCCCTACACAACAGGATCCAATTGCTCAGTCATCAAACCCCACCAACAAACCACCTCCCAAAGAATCTGACACCCACTACCCCTAAAAGTGCAAGACACATCACAAGGTAAAAACTAGTTTTTATTTATTGTATTAAAACAACTTTATAAAATGATTTATAACTCTACACGTACAAAAATAGCTACTGCATGCAAAAATATATGCAAACTGGCTTCACTTCCTCTAGGCTACTCTTCTTAGTGATCTGATGGCTTACAGACTAGCAATAGCAGCTTCTTGCAAATGAGAAACAGCAGCAAAGTTCTGAATTGAAGTTCTGCTTAGAAGTTCTACTAAGCTTGAACTGTTCATTCCACTAATCCTATAATTTTCCTAGTTATCTGTTGTACATTCCTACTTCCTACAGGATAAACACCTAGCAAAGGTAAAAGAGACAAATGAAATAGGCATTCACATTTATAGCTGTCTGTAAGACAAATTCAGAAGAAGGAGCAGAGGAAATGGGAATTACTGCAAAGTTATATCTAGTCCAGGTGATGAGGCCTGAAGTTTTCTTCTAGTGCTGATCATTCTTTGGAACGAAATTAAGTATCAAAAACTCTTACTTCTCTAGGAGTGATTCTAGCTCTTCTTGCAAAGAGCTGAGCTGCTCCTTTTCTCGGTCTTCCTTTTGTTTGAGTTCATCCAGCACAGCCTGAAATCTGTTCTTGAGAGCCAGGTTTTCCACTTTCATGATGAGATCTTCCTGTCGTTTTGCCCTGTCCTGGGTCTCCTGGAGCTTTCCTTTCATGTTATCAATTTGTTTCTGAATTCCCATAACCAGCTGATTGGTTCCTTCATTTTCTTGGTGCTGTTCATCTGATGTATTTAGCTTGTCCTGTAGCTGTCTTTCCAGGTCTTCTTCAGTGTCGATGATGTTAATATCTTCCTCATCTTGATGCTGTGTCTCATCTTCATCTTCACTGCTGCTGCTGAGGTCATTGAATATCTCCCGAAGCTCATCATGTTCTAATGAGTCATGGCCCTGCCTGTGGCCTGACATTCCTGGAGAAGAGATATCAAGGCCTTGATTTTCTGTTTCCTTTGTTTCATCTTCAGCAATTATTTCCCAACGAGTACTGACAGCTTCAGCATCAGTACTCAGCAAACGCTTCACTTCTTTTTCCACATCTGGAGATTCAATATACTTCTTCTTTGCTGTCTTCCGGAACCTTCTCTTTCTGACATTTTTTAGAGGTAGAGTGATTCCATGGTTCCATATAAACTTTTTCTCTTTGTCCTTATCCTTTTTTTTGCTAGCTTTGGGATCTGCAGCAGCAGTAGCTGCTGCTGCAGCAGCAGCAACTGGTTCCTCCACTGGAGGATAGAGATCACCATCAACTGTGGATACAAGCATCTGACAGATATCAGCTGTCTTGTAAAAGGTTTTTTTATCAATGGTTTTCAAACTTTCAATCACACACGGCAGATCTACCAATTTTGAGGCCAGTGGAACCCGGTCCACTCTGACAATTCCATGACGTCCATCTGGGTGTAACTCTATTGTAAGTCTGTCCTTCAGGTTGACATGGCCAGATTGTACTGCCCGCCTCACAGTAGAGGCATATTCCGGAGGTAGACGTAAGATAAATTGGCTCTCTAGTTCGTGAGGAGCATCATCTTTACTCTTACTCATCTTTATTTCTTTGTGACTCACTTCTCTAATAACCACCGGTTGCACTAAAAAATTTCAGCTATTCCAACAGTCACAAAGACCAGTCTGTAATTACTTGCAATATTTAAGTACAACAGAAGCCAAGCGTCTATTTTCTTAATTTTGAATTAGGCAGCAAGTCTTTTTAAATATGCTGTGACTGAGTATCAGTTGTTACTGACACTCGTATATTCAGTTAGGTCCATTTAAACATATTAGCTGCAATGCCAAGTTCCAACCTCTAGATGCCGCTGCCAGACAATGCGGAGAGCTAGCGAGCAGGAAAGCAAATGGCGGCTCCTGCGGAATGATTTGCAGCACAGAAAGTTAAGGCAGGACCCAGCAGACACTCCCAATCCACAAACTTTCCCAGAACAAAGATAGTCAAAAAGCAGAGCGCAGGGAGCTCTCTTTACTTCGATACTTACAATCCAGTTACGAGTGTAAATCCAGCTTCTCCGGACAGGAGCGAGCGAAGAGAAAGCCTCTCGGGGCAAGGCGGCCGGCGGCCGACCGTCTCCTTCCTGATTCCTTTGTTCCTCCCGACTCTTGGCAAAGCGATCCGGTACTGATTATCAGGAAAACGGCCCAGGACGGGCAGCGCGAAACCTCCACAGCTCCGCAGCTCCGCAGCTCCGCAGCTCCACAGAACCTCTGTCCCGGGATGCACACCGAGCGGAAAAGAAAGCGCTACGTCTCGGCGAGGGGCGGGAGACGGCTGTGAGTGACAGCACGACTCAGGCGGAAGTGAGGGTTGCCTCAGAGTGCGCAGGCGCAACGCGCAATTACGCTAGACGGCGTACGACTATCTTCTCGCGATAACTGGCTTTTTGCGATGGGAATAATTTCTTAAAGGGCTATTCGTTTGAAAATAAGTACGATATTGAATCACGGTTCCGAGAAAGATCTGTATCTTCCCGCGTCCGCCCCTCGCCCTGTCTCTAAGACAACTTTTATTGGATCGCTTTGGGGCCGGATAGCTCCTCGGCTTCCGGCTGATTGTCGGATATAGGGCGTCCAAGCGAAAAGCGTCTTTACATCTGGAAATACCTCGGAGGTTCCCCAGGATATTGCCATTTGAGAGCCGATTAAAGAATTTATAACTAAGCATGCAATGCATTTTAAAGTACCCACATCAGTGGCGTGGAGAGGACATGCTGCACACTGTATAATTCTGTCATAACATTGGTTATGAAGGTGACTGGAGTGGACCCATGCCTCAGGGTCGGTTTCTGTTGTGAAGGATCCCAAGGGAACAAGGATGATCCCTCTTTTTATTATGTTTGACATAAATATAAATGTAAACAAACAAGTAAGTGTTCTCTTAGAGAAATATGTCCCTTTAAGACAGAGTTGCCTGACAGACAACTGCGCTGATTTAGGCAGAATACAATTGAATTATTATTCTCTGCCACTCACTAGTCAGTAAATTTTAGATTAGTTAGGAAGTTTTTTCATTCCACCATTCCTATTTTGCTGTTCTCTGCTTGTCTCTTCTCTATGTAGTTGGGTATTCATCAACACGTATCTATAGTATTTAAGCCTAATTATGTAACAGTCACCACTTATTTCTACTCATTTCCATTTATTTTTTAATAGGATTAGTTTGGTAGAGCATCAAGGTCATTAAAAACTTCATTTCTATCCCCTAAAATATAACAACTGCATCTAAATTTAAGACAATGTTCTTATGTGATTAACATTTTCAAAATTTGCTTTATTTCTTTATGTATTTACAGGTATTTTCTCTCACCCCAGCTTGGAAGCTCCATGATAAAAAGGAGTCTTTTATCCTGTACATCATGTCCCAGTACCTAGTACCAAAGCATGGGGGATATGCAAAAAATATTTGCTAATTGAATGAACCAATTGATCCAACTAGAAAGAACATAAATATAGTCTAACTCCTATATTAATTTGTGAGAGAAAAAATACATTCTATATAACTTCAAAATAATAGAGAGTAATTTCATAGACATTTCCTGTCTAGTCCAGGACAGTGCTAATTGTTGGGAGCAGAGAAGTTTGCTAACCTTGTGTGTGAATGTGTTCTCTTTGGTTTTGGTAGACTGTGTATCATGGATGAAAATTAAAATGGCCTAGCACTAGTTTGTTTGTTTGTTTGTTTGTTTTCTGTTAAATTTGAAGTTGAAATTATGCTCTTTAAGGTAACTTTGTTCTGCAATGTGTTGAAGAGAGCTGATTTATCTGTAATTTCCTGGGTAATCTATTTCCTCTTTTCTTTTCCAAGACATTATCTTTATTTTTTCTTTCCATTTCTTTTTTATTTTTACTTCTTATTTATTCTTTATTGTATTTTTCCATTACATGTATATTTCCTTTTTCCAAAATTAAATTTTTGTTGTACTTCTTCCTTAATTATACCTGATTTTACTTATTTTATACATACAAGAATTTTAACATGCTATCCTTTGCAGAATGATTTGTTTAAATAAAATTTGAGGCTATACTTATACATGAAAATAATCCAAATATTGCTTTGCATTTTAATTGCCTATGAGTGTTATGATGCTCCAATATCCTTGTCACAGAAAGTAACCTGAGATAAATTCTATGCAGTTCTTATTTGCCAAAATTATGATGTATTTTAGTTAGTGAACTTTTAAATGGAAGATGGCAAGAGATAATTAAAAGAATTAACTGAAGTTTCCCATAAAGTATTTACCTCCTTCAATCTTGAAACATATTGTCTGCTTTTGAGTTGAACACAGTAGTCTTGTATATCAAGTATGATGTTTTCTATAGAAAAGAAAAGACTAACCTCATTTACACTGGTTTAAACAATAAAAAAGTCAATTATCTCAAAAACCAGGTAGTCTAGAGCAGCTCTGTCCAATAAAAATTTAATGTGAACCTCAGATGAAAGCCACATATAGTATATTAATTTATCTAGTAGTCACTTTAAAATGGCAAGAAGAAACAAGTAAAATTAATTTCAATACCATTTCATTTAACCTGAGCATCAAAAATTGCACTTCAACATATAATCAATATAGAAATTATTAATGATATATTTTACAATCTTATTTTATACTACTTTATCAAAATATGGTATATACTTTACATTACAGTACATCTCAATTTGTACTAGCTACATATCAGGTGTTCAGTGACTGCGTGTGGCTGATGGTTACTATATTGGACAGTGGAGTTCTAGAAGTATGGTTGCCCCTAGGTAAGATAGAACCATGGTCTGGAAAAAATTGTTTTTCTCTTCATAAGTTTGAAGAATGACCACTTATTTATACATTTTCTACTTTTTTTCAGCTTTGCCTGCTCTCTTTGTAAACTCCCAATGTCTGTGATCACAAGAAACTTGCCAGCAGTAACTGGGAAACTTCCTTCCTTGTCCATGGTAAGTTTACAGAATGGTTACCCCCAACCAAAGTCTGTCTTTTAATCAGATTGGGCTAAGTTAGGTCATGTACCTATCTATTCCCTGGCTCAGTAATAGTCACCATTTTGATAATGGGAAAGAGATGATATTTGGTAATGTCTGAAGACAATTTTGATTATTACAGCTATGAGGGTGGGATTTACTGGCATCTAGTGGGTAGAGGCCAGGAATTCTGCTATATACTTGTATTCTATAATACAGAGAACATCCCCTCCCCACACACACAACAAGAGTTATCTGGCTGAAAGTAGTATCAAGGCTGGGAAACCTTGCCCTAGCTTATTGTTTTAAGCCTATATTTACAACTGAACACTGACAAGTGGAATGAGATTACCATTATTGGTTTAGCTCTCTCAGAACCTACTACAACTATGAATAGGTTTAGCTTTGCCTTAGGTATGCAGAGAGTAGGCCCCTAAATTTAAAATAAAGTGTTAGAAGAAAGGAAATGGCATGGGCAACTGTCTTAGTTGGGTTGCTGCAACAAAATGCCATAAACCAAGTAGCTTGTAAACAACAGAGATTTATTTCCCAGTTCTGGAATCTGAAAAGTCCAAGATAAAGATGCTGACATATCTGGTATCTGGTGAGGGAAGGCTTCCATATCCATACACAGTAGTCTTTTCACTGTAACCTTACATGGTAGAAGTTGTGTGGGGGCTCTCTGCAACTTCTTCTACAAGGACATTCATGCTATTCATGAGGATCCACCCTCACGACCTACTCACTCCCAAAAGCTATACCTCCAAATACCATCGTCCTGGGTATAGGTTTCAAAAGTGAATTTGGATGGGGATACAAATATTCAATCTATAGAGACAACCAATAGTATCCATGAAAGAGCTAATTATTTGGAGGATCATAAATACACAAATGATCAGTAAGCACATGAAAAGATGATCCTCAACATTGCTAATCATTGGAAAAATGCAAATCATAACAACAATGAAATACCACCTCACATTCATCAGGATGGCTTCTATTGGGAAAAAACAGATAATAATAAATGTTGGCAAGGATGTGGAGTAATCGAAATCCTTGTGCCCTATATGTGGAAATATAAAATGTTATAGCCACTGTGGAATGGTGTGGTGGTTCCCCGAAAACTTGTGCTTCACAGGCCAGTGCTCAATCCACTGAGCCACACCAGCCAGGGCTCCCCAAAAACTTAAAAATAGAATGACCATATGATCCAGCAATTCCACATCTGGGTTTATACCCAAAAGAATTGAAAGCAGAGTCTTGAAGAGATATTTGTACATCCATGTTCACAACAGCATTATTCACAATAGCTAAAAGTTTTAAGCAATCCAAATGTCCATCGACAGATGAATGGATAGGCAAAATGTGGTGTAATATGTACAATAGAATATTATTCTGCCTTAAAAAGGAAGGGTTCTGACATATACTCCAACATGGATGAACCTTTAGGATACTATGCTATGTAAAATAAACCAGTCATGAAAAAGACAAATATTGTTGTGATTCTACTTATATAAGGTATTTAGAGTAGTCAAAATCATAGAGACAGAAAGTAGTATAGTGTTTGCCAGGGGATGGAGAGAAGAGAGAATGAGGAGTTATCACTTAATGGATATAGGTTTCAGTTTACAAGATGAAAATAATTGTGGAAATGGATGGTAAAGATGGTTGCACAACAGTATAAATATACTTAATACCACTGAAATGTGCACATAAAAATGGTTATGATGGTAAATTTTAAGTCAGGTATATTTTACCACAATAAAAAAGAAAAAAGAATATATGTATTTAAAAAGTATGGATGGGCATAGAATCTAAATTCTTTAAAGCAGTAATTATATAATGCAATTACTATAGATCTTTAAAAGTGTATCAATATTTTCGTAGTAAAATTTTTTTATATTATAGAATTTACAGTGAGAATTTTTGTAATGTAAAATTCTCTTTACAATGGTCATTTCTTGGGTAAAAAGATTTTATAAGAAAAAGAATCTTCAATAGTACATCGTCTTTTTCACAAGGAAATGTCAAGAGGGAAAGTTCTGTACAAATTTTAATTTTAAGTCGATATGCATTTTAATAAATTAAAACATTTGATTTAAATTTTGTGGGAATACCATTTTACTGAAACTTTGTCAACAAGAAATAATGACTTGTAGCCCCTTTACTAAACCAACTGGTATTCTAAAAATAAGTCCTGGAAATAAAGCAAATACAGCCTCCTGTGAGGACTTTCAGAAATGAAAATACACATCGGTCTGGGCCTCTGGGTGCCGCTGTCGGCCAATCCGT